CCTAAGAGTGGATCTTGTCTAACACCTACGGCCTGAGCGGTGAGGTGGAAGGACAAGGGCATGGGCTCCTCTCGATGGCTTCCCCGCATCCATCCGAGACAAGCCCCATAGTTTGTCTAGATGAGCCCATCTGCTGAGGCAGTAATTGAGTGTGATGGGAGACGGGAGGGTCACGCTCGTCTTGCAGAGCCCTTGCCAGCCCTTCCCTCCTCCTGGTGCGCGGCAGCTCAGCCGGCAGCAGCGGGGATGTGTCCTCCAGCCCTTCACCTCATTATCACCATCTTATTGCAGTAAGAGCAAGAGAGCCCAACTGAGGTTTGGAAAGGTCCTCGTAGGTCATGCTGTCAAGTGCCTTGTTATCACAGGCACTCTCTAGTTTAATCCTCTTCCCAAGGTCCTCTTGAACAGAAGCTGGATGTCTCCTTACCCACCCAGCTAAGCAGAAGGGTGCAGTGCAGAGGGGGCCATCGATGATGAGCAGGAGAAGGGAGCTAGCAGCAGAACCAGCTCCCCTGAATTGCCACGCTGTGTCCTGTCCTTGCTAATCCTGTGAAGCATCACGTGTGAGACAGGAGGGAGAAGCATCTTGTGGCCTCTCTAGAGTTGAGAATATTTATTTTTTCTTAAATATACATTGATTGTGCCACAAGGGAGAATTTGGGTTGGAGGAGCCAGTCACAGAACCCCTCTGTTTTTCTGTCTTTAGCCTGTGAGTTTACAACTTACATGAAAGGAAGAGAAAAATCCAGCAGAAGCAACAAGAACCAAATGATATAATGATCTTTGTTTCTAAATTTTACTGTGTTACAGGGATGGAGCACCATCCATCCCGGCCCACAAGACTTCTGGGAAGCCAAGAAGAACAAGGTATTCCCATTTCAATATTACCAAACAAGCTGCCATGCAGCTACCACGTTTGTATTTCTCTTTTTTAAAAGATAAATAAAAAACAAAGCCACAAAGAAACCCAGCTCCCAAACCAAATCCATTTGAAAAATGTATTTTTGTCATCTCCACCATGGTTTATTTGTCTAATCCCCAGTGGGAGTGGGGAGTGGACTCCAGAGATAAGGTCCTAGGTTTTTATGGTGGAGGTCTCTTCACTACTGAAGATTTTCCTTCACGCAAACATCTCATATTGCATGATTTAAAAAAAAAAAAAAAAGCTGATTTGCTTGAATACTTGCTCCTTCTTTCCTTCCCCTTACCCCACCTGCTATTTTTCCTACATCTCAAGAAACACAGTCCCCAATCTTTTCTGAAATGGCGATGTGTCCCTCAGCATCTCTGCTAAGAAGGAGCACCAGCTTGTCAGGTCCTCAGCAGGTCTGGGGAAATGCTGATTGCAGTAAATTGCAGACATCTACCACTGGGCTTATGCCAGTGGAGATCAGAGACATGGAGGACTCTGCTAAGAAGCTGTATGACTGGCAGCTCTTAGACACTGTTGCCTGCTCCTTGCACCTTGGATGTCCTCTCGGTTCTGCTGAGTTTCTGAAGCACAGGCTGCAAGGATGGCTGCATCTGCAGGGAAGTCCAAGTCTTGGAACCCACAGAGTACAAGTCTTGAATGCCGATGGCAAATCCCCGCGCCTTTCAGGACGTGTTGGGCTTGCCACGCCTGGAGCTGTATGATGCTTCAGGGTGAATCTGAAACTGGGAAAGTGGGGACGCTAGATTTGAAATGAATTCAACCTCTGGATCCTGAAGAGGGACTTTGGGAGTGCCACACCTGGAAGAATGAAGTGACTGTAAGATGATCATCAGAGGGCAACTGTACCCCGAGGCTGGGCACAGAACTGTTGCAGGAGCAAACCTGTTGCTCACATGAAGAATGAAGCTGTTCCCGCTTCATTCCTCGAGCTGACTGTAGGGAGAGAAAATAGCATCTACAACTGAGTCAATGTCTAGAGGAGTCGCTGCCTCGCAGGCATCCCCGAAAGCTACATCCTACAACCAGGGCTGGGCAGGTGTCCTGCATCGTTTCCAAGTGAGGAACAGGTCGGGTTCATAAATGCCTGGTAACGCGAGTCCTGCGAGGAAGCAGCAACTGAACTTCACGTAGTACAGTCACCTCATCCTGCAGATGCACACCTTGGTGAAGACCTGTGCGTGAAGCAGCTTCTTAGGGGTTAGTGAGGATAACGGCGTCTCTGAGCTCAGTGTTGGGAAGCGGTCATTGCTTTCCTGCAGCCCAGAGAGCCAGGGACAGGGGATGGATGGAGGTCATCCAAGCTGCCCGGGGGATCGCAAAGTGATGCCAGGCTTGTCCTGGCTTTGGAGAGGGCTGTCTGGTCTTGGAAACACGGGGGTAGCAAAGCAGGTAAGGCTCTCCCTGGCAAGGGCTTGGTTTATCTTTGGACCTGACATACTCGGTGAGAATACGCCATCTGCTCTGCCTGGTGTGTCATTGCTGCTGGCAGCCAGCTGGGCAGGGGCGAGCGTCAAGGGCTTTGTGTGGGGCTGAGCAGGCTGGGATGAGTCAGCTTTCTGCTGACCAGCTCCGCAGCGAGCAGCAGCACCAACTTTCTGGTGTAGCAGCTCAAAGCACAGATCAATAGAAATAACTACTTATATGTATAATCTCTTTCCATCTGTCTCTTCCATCTCGTTTATATCAGCTAGATTCAGCCTAATCGCTAGCAAATGCTGTCGTGATGACCTGTAAGATTCACTCTCCTATAACCCTTCAAGTGTATCTGATTCTTCACCCCCAAGAATGTGACTGTTGGTTTTGATGAGGTTGAGATTTGCAGATTTAAGGCTTTAAGTAGCCGCTGTCTCCCCAGACCTCTGCAATGCTTTCCCACAAACCCCAGTGTCCAGCTAAGTCACTGGCGGCTGAGCAAGAGGATGTGTTTTTTGGACTAACACCCCTTCCCGGTGCAGTGGCCCCAGCCCTGGAGGTGGTTGATCTCAGAGCAAGGAACCACACTTTGCACCTTTATCCTTGAGACCTGCTGCAACTGTGCATCAGGTCTTTGGCATTTAAGTCATTTTATAAAATCCCATTTGTTGAGGGTTTGCCTTTCTCTTAGGCTTTTCTGTTATTTAGTAGGTGTTTTATCTCTTCTAATGTGCCCAAAGGAGTTTTGGTGCATCTGTGCTGTTGAAGAAGGGTTGGCATTAAGCAAAAATTTCTAGCCTTTTGATGACTGAGAAAGCAGGAGTAGCGGTGGGGGGAGAAATTTAAGCAGGATTTTATGTTGGCCTGAAAAACTGAAGAGAAGAATCCGTGCCAGACAAGAGCCAGATGGACAAAAGCCACGACACAAATCTGAGCTCTGACAGCAGCAGCTTACCTGGCTCTGGCAGACCAAGCAGAAAACGTTGCGTGGGCCTCGGGAGCCTCTGCAGCCCATAAACTTAAGAGCAGTTTGCAAAAAATAACCTCTTGCTTTTTGCATAACAGCTTTCACATGGAAGTCGTCTGAACACTGTTGACATGCAGCAGACAGCAACGCTGCACCGGCGGCTGCTGCAGGAGGGGAGAGCGAGCAGTGGAAAACAGCCCCAGGCCTTCGTGTGCTGGGGTGGAGCTGGGTTAATGGGATCAACGTCCATATAGGACTCTTTTAGCATGTGTCTTAATTTCCTGGTTTTTTTAAGAAATAAGTTTTATATTCTAGGTTTTATTTTTGCACTTGCATAGAGCTGCTCCCACTGATTGCCTAAAAAGCCTTATTGTGTTACAGACAGCTCTGATTTCCCTAGAACAATACCTGTGCCCCTGCTGCTTTCTCTTAACATCACATAACCAGCTTCAAATTCAGCAGAGAGGTAAAGCATTAGGATAATTGTCAATAAATAGCAGGCCTTTTACGTTACTGAATGCCTCATTCAGACCTCAACAAAGAGCTGGACAAGTTCAGGGAGTTGTCTCTCATGACCAGTGATGGAAACCCCGTTGCTTGGGCTGTTCTCAGCTAGACTGGGCTAAAACATACTGTGGGAAACAACGGTGTGTGGAAAAGTGTGTGATTTAGGGTGTGTAACATGATGATTGAGAAGGAGATAGTTACCGGCGTAACTGTCTGCATAAAGCTACTTTCCAGGTTTAGGGAAAGCGTGTGTGCTGGTTTCAAAGGGAGATCATTAATAATAATGTTATTGGCATCTATTAAGTGTTTTTCATCTATGTACTGCTCAGACGTTAACTCATCAGCATGTGACATGCTTCTGGCTAGATTACTCCTACCACACAGGATTTGGGACAGGTCTCTCCTGTCTGTTTAGAAATTGCCCAGAGACAAAGACAGGATAGTGGTTTGCATAGAGCACCTGACGGCAGATCCCTGCTCCCAGCTCCTGTCCCACGGTAGCACCGTCCTGCCACGGAGCCTTGTGGCAGCCATTAGCATCACTGCTGGACCAGGGAACTAGATGCATGACATGACCTCCATGGAAGTTCAGCACTAACAGGCTCAGAAGATGGTTGAACTCTGGACTTAGGCTTTAAACTGACTGATTTCTCTTTTCTTTAGGATTCCCTTATGCTGTCACTTCACCTCCTTGTTTTCTTCTTCTCCTGCAGCAGTACCCATCCATTTCCCTCTCCCGTGGTGACTCGCCGTGTTGCTTCCTTTGCTTTTCATCATGTGTCTTTAACCTTTTTGCTTCCAGGATTTCTCCCTCTGCAGAAAGGGGAGTTTCCTGGCAAAGGCCAGGTTTGAGCAGGAGCCTCCCTTGCCGTGCTCCCACGGGAGTGCGCACGGAGCAGCTCCCCCAGGCCAGGGCTGCTCGGCGGCTTTCCCAAACCTCATACCCCCTTGGACTATCCAAGCCCGAGACCCACTGACCACACTGGTGGAAAGGTCAGGTGGGAGAGCAAGACACTAGATGTCTGTGTGCTCCTACAGGTCACAAGGACTGACGATGCTTTAGGTTTTCATGGCTAAGTAACGCGCATAGCTCCGTGGAGCTTCGGGGTCCCAGCTCAGCCCGTGACACTGTGGCCGGGAGCCCTAGGCTGACACTGTCTCTTCTCCATCCACTTCCAGCCGTCCAGGAGGAGAGGCAGCGGGGGAAGGACCGCAATGAGAACGAGGTGGAGTCAACAAGTAGCGCTAACGAGGACATGCCCGTGGAAAAGATCTTGGAAGCTGAACTCGCAGTGGAGCCAAAGACAGAGACGTACATTGAAGCAAATATGGGCTTGACGCCGAGCTCGGTAAGGCACCTCTCCCCTTGGCCCCATCCCCATCCCGGGCACAGGGGGCAGAAGGGATAGCTTGTGGGGCCTCAGGATTGACCTAGCACGAATACAGCAACGAGCCTAGGTCAGAGAGGGTTATCTTACGGGAAAAGAAATAAGTAGAGCTCAGAAACGCAACTTCTTAGCTCTGCTGTAGATGCCGTGTGTGAGCTTAGATGAAAGCATGAGGAAAGCAAACTCCTCTGCCCCTGCGCAGCCACCAGCACTGGTACTTGTCTGTCTCACTGCCATAGCAGGGGAACAGATACTGTAAGGCATAATTAGAAGGGCTCACAGAGAAGATTTATTTTAGTTAACAGCCATTAGTGCTAAAAGGCAGGAAGACACTCCATGCTCTGAAGAGCTCAGAGTCCAATCAAGCCAATAAACAGAGCTGTGCGGCTGAAGTGCAAAGAGATAAGAGTTGTAAAATCGGGGTGTGACTTTTCAGATGCAGAATTATACAGCTGCTTGGCTCTAAGAAGAGAAAACCTGGAGAAGTTTGCCGAGACGTTTGCTTTCGTGTTCCTTTCCCATTCAGAAGCTGGCATTATAACTGGGCCTGCTCGAGGCATCTGGGCTCTAACAGGGCCTTGTGTAAACAAGAGAGAGCTGACAGGGAAATAGGAAGAGTGAGAAGCTGCGATGAGGGAAACTGTCTTGGTCCCTTTCCCAAGAGATTCCCTTATCAACAGGTTATAGCCTTGCTTAGAGAAAGCCTCCCTGGAAAGCAGCTACCTCCAAATGTGAGAGCCAACCTATCCTCTGAAATTCTGTTTCTAGGACAGACCCTATGCAAAGCCCTCATAAAGAGCCCTATCGCAGAGAAAGTACATGCTGCCCAGTCTAGGCAGCATTTAGGATGCATTCCCCATTCCTCAATAGCCCCTGTTCCCGTGAAGGTAATGGGAATAGAGGAATGCCTCTAAAAGGTAGGACTGCAATTGAAGCAACTAATATAGCAGTAGGGTCAGGAGTGGGGCTAATTACCCCCACCCCGGGTACACCGGGGGAGCCCTGGGATACTGAGGGACTGGGAAGTCTCAAAGCAAAGAGATGGAGAGGGAGAAGAAAAAACATAAGCTGCCGTGCGCCATTGTGTGTGCGCTTTTGGGGCCGGGGTCGGCTGCGCATGTTTAATTTCTCATTTGCCTTACAGCGATGCCTTCTGGGAGGCACGCACCATCCCACGGCATGCTCTGTTAGCAGGAGGGGGCACCGCCGCTGCAAGGTGTCATCAGGGCTGCGGAGGGTATAAATTACCCCAATACCCAGCAGGGTATTGCCAGGCTTGCTGCTGGGGAGGGAAGAGGCTGGAGTGGGGAGCATCTCCCGGCTGCCTGGCAGTCCTTCAGGGGAGCACAGAGATACAGCTGGTGCTCTGCGAGCGTGCAGGCTGGCTAACCCAGGAGAGCAGGAACATACGCTGAAATATCCCTCTGCAATTCCTATTGCTCTGTGCTAGGTGTCTGTGAGGCTGAGATGATGAAATGCAGCTATTTCTGGGAAGTGGAGGGACTCTGCGGTATTTATTTTTTGCTACAATAATACTTTATCTCTTTCTTCATACGAGGCTGGAGGATTGAGCAGGGAATACCTTATCTGGCAGGGCTTGACAAGAGATCTTGGAGTCAGGCTGCTCCTTGTAGGAGTCTAAGTCTTGACTTGCCTCTATGGGATGCTCTTTTTGGCCTTTACCTACAAGGACACTTCATGGCTGGCTTGCAAAGTGAGGCTTTTCAGTGCACAAGGCTTCCTGCTAAGGACAGAGACGATTCCTAAGGGAAACTCTCCAGAAGCAGATACAGGGCCATGGTGCTCCCCTGCATTTGAGAGCCCAGTTGCACCCTGCAGGCAGCAATGCCCTCCAGCCGGAGGGTCCCATCACCATGAAGCTGCAAGGGGCTTTTTTGGAGGAGGCAGCTCAGCCGTGGTTAGCGTGGGGCTCGGAGAGGCTCTGACGGCTATCAAGATTAAAAATACTTCAGGGGAGTTGTAGCCGGTGTTATGCTGACTTGAAAACAAACCCCAGAGAGCGAGCTGAAATAAATGGCTTCGTCTGGCACTGCGTCTCCTCAGCCTCTTGTAGCAAATTGAAAGCTGGTTCCTGCATAATTCAACACGCATTACTGTGAACAAGGATGTGTGTTGCATCTAAATAGAAGCAGGAGGCTTGTTGAAATGCCCTATTATTGTCAAGCAGCTTCTGTCCACGAGGTGACATTTGTAGCAGGTTTAGCAGATGTATGAGATCAGCAGCTCGCAGTGACGAGGCCACCGGATGAGGCAAGGGAAGACGGAGGAGCTGCCCTCTTCCCAGCCCTCCCCAGAGAGCCCATGTGATGGAAAGGCAGACAAATTCAGTCCCTAATAGACACGGGGTAAAACACAAGCTGTTTCCTATTAGCCTGGGATGTTGGGTCCTTTTATTTGCGCCCCTGCACCTTAGTCGATCTGCATTGAATGCTGCCGGTGAGCTGGAGAGCTCCAGTGCGTGCAAGGACGTTTCCACCGGGCTGTGCCAGGCTGGGATGGAGGTGGTAGGGTACTGTAGGAGTTAAGACCCTCCTCTCCCAGATGCTCTCATGCCTGTGACTGTCAGCTTGTGCCATGGTCCCCGGCTGCTCTTGAGAGCAGAGGTCCCAACTCTGGTTGGGGGAGGTCCCTCTGCTTTGCCAGGCTGGCACTGGCACTGATTTCTTCCACCGAGGACAGTGTGGGACCCTTCCGTGGGGCTTCAGCACAGTCCTCAGAGCTGGTAAAGGGGAGGCGTGGAGGGCTGCAACCCGTGAGCTGTTCTGGCAGCCCTAGTATCTAAACGTGTTGCTGACAAAGCGTGCTGCTCTGAGGCCGAGTATGGGACCAGGGAGGGGATCTCTATCCTGACACCTTGACTGATACCAGAGAGGATGGGGTATGTTCATGGTTTGAAGCCCATGATGGGGAAAGGGGAGTACAGTGGGGTGCGATCCTTGTGGGTGGCACGGACAGGACGGGGAAGGACGCTGAGCCAGGCAGAAAGCAGCTAAGACAGAGCGATCTGCCCCTCCGAATCTGCTCTCCTGCCTTGGGTGGTAGGGGAGTGCCAAGACTAGCGTTTTGATGACCATCACTAAAACACTCACTTGAAGTAATTGCACTGGTGAGCCCCTGATAACAGCTCTTCAGAGGCTGCAAATAGCTGCTAATTGCAACGGTTGTCTGGCTTCTGACTGTGGCAAAGGGGATAAACCCTTTGGGAGGTTCCCACAAGCTGTAAATGAGCATGGCTGCAGGATTCCTCCACGCTGTGTGTCCCAGCAAGCCCGGAGACCCCGTGTGATCCCAGCCCCTCGGGAGCTGGGCACTGGCCGTACGCCCTCAGCGGGTACCTGTCCCCGAGGAGTATGACGGGGCGCGAGGATGGGTTTGCCTCTGCCCCGTGTCCCCGGCAGCCGCAAAGCTGGGCTCCTGCAGTGTAAGCACCACCTCGGATGGGCTCCTGGCCACTGAAAGGCAAAGCCTGTAACTGAGAGGTGTTATCCCCATTAGCTCTTAATTGGCCTTTGGGCGGCTGGTTTCAAGTCACCATTTTCTGGAAGATGTCTCCAAGCTCCGGTTTTCCAGAAGCATCAGGTGCCTGCGTGTCCTTTCGTTCTGTCACACTCCGGCACCGTGCCCTTGCTCTTTACTGCAGGAGGGGATTTGCTTACCATGCACCAGGAGGGTTTCTAGCACCACTTTGCAGATCCCCTCCTGGAGACAGGCAGCCCTTTCGGCCTGCAGGGATGATACTTTTAGCTGCCTCTCAAGCTACGGTGATGAAGTTCTGCCAGAAAGCACCGTGGTGATTCCGGGAACTGCCATCTGAGGTGTAATTAAAGGCTGGGCCCCTCGCTGAGGCTTTGTATGAAGCACTGAAGGCTGGGTACAGCTTGTGCTGCCTGCAGAGCGGTGGTGATACAGCCAGGGCTGGGAGATGTGGAGCCCGGCTTGCTGCATCAGGGCGAGTCCTAGAGACGGTGACAACCTGCCTAGAAGCAACCCCTGATAAAAGCTTTGGCAAAGACATCTAACTTTCCTAAAATACCCCTTTCACGGGGCTGTGCAGGCACTTGTCGCTTCGTGGGTCAGGTTCTACTGGAACATGGAGTCTCCCGTAAGTCGTGTCCCGCTCTGGGGCATGCAGGGCTCCATCCCCATCCCGCCCCGCGGGAGCTGGGACGCCTGGGTTCTCACCTGGCTGCTGCAGCTTGCTGACCAAACTGGGATGACTTGAAGTTGGTGATGTTCCTATAGCCTGGGCCAAGGGTGTCCCTTCTCACCCTTCCCGCAAATGCCTCTGAACGCTGATGTTCCTCGTGTTCCTAGTGAAACACTTAACCCTGCAAAGCTCCTCCTCACACCCAGTTTAGGGTTTTCCTGTTGTCCAGAGGAAATCCTGTTTTATCTCCCTCTCCCGAGGAAAAGCCCAGTCCCTGTTCACATCTCTTTCCCCAGGGAAGAGCCCCAGCTCCCTTGGAGCAAGACTCCTCTGCCCTTGCACTCCTTGAGGAGCTGCTGCAGCCGGGCAGAGCAAGGAGGGAAAATCCCTGTAATGATGCTCCTTGCTCCTCAGCTGCACTGCTGAACGCGAGCCCATTCCCATCCATCTCTGCACGCAACAGGTGAAAATACTTCGAAGGCGGGTGCCCCTGAGCTTGCCAGACGCTGGTTATTTTAAGCTTGGAGCATGGGAGACCTTGGCCACTGAGGCTCAGAGTTTGTGTTCGCTGCCAGGGGACAGCGGAGGGGACCGGGCAGGGGTCCAAGGCATGGCTCCGGAGGGCAGGAGTGAGACTGAGCAGCGTGATCCTCATCTGCCCAGCCTGGGAGAGGGGTTTGTCGTAATGCAACCAGCTGGCAGTGAGGAATGGCCGTGTCCTGCTGAAACTGAGACTTGCTGGAGGGAGAGGTTATGCTGGCGTGGGGTCTGCTCTATCTCGGCCGTGCTGAATTCACACTCCTCCTCCCCGGCGATCTGGGGGTGAAATAAACACTCCTCCTTCGATTTGGAAACTGCTCTTTTAAGGACATGGAAGAAAAATAATCGTATAATCAAAGCCGCTGGATATCAGCAGGGATTACAGTGGGATATGTGGAGGGGCTCATACATCCCTGTCCAGAGAGGTAAACCCTATATACACACTTGTACTAGCGAGGTCTGTCTTCGCCAGGGTTAGACAGGCTCTTCCAGTTCCTAATCACAAGCCCACTTGAGCTGTTAGCAGTTCCTTTAAACAGGGATTTGGTGTGTTTAGGCTGACTGTCCTCCTTGAGAGCAGATGGTTTTTGTTACTGGATAATATTTCAAAGGACAGGGTTTTTCTCATTTTTTCTGTAATGCCCCCTCTGCTGCTGGTTTATCGAGTTGGGAGATGCTGGCACAGGGAACGTGCGTGCTGCACGGGTGCAGAAGCCTGCCCATCCCTGGGCTGGAGCTAGTTTGGTTCATCAGTCAGTGTGATGGATATTGGGTCTCAACACTCCTGGTTCCTGTTTTGGAGCTTGCTAAACCTACTTAAAACCATGTGGTGGAGAAGCCAAGTCACATCCTTTCCCTGTGACTGATAACGTCCACTTCTGGGGTGCTCTCGACTTCGGGGTCCTTCCCTGCAGCAGGGAGGCAGCAAGTCCCTTCAGCTACTCCTCTAGTCTCTCCTCTTCTCCTTGCTGTGCCTTCTCTGAGCCTTCCAATCTCCTTTTCTTGGCAGCCCAATGACCCGGTGACGAACATATGCCAGGCAGCAGACAAACAGCTCTTCACCCTGGTGGAGTGGGCCAAGAGGATCCCCCACTTCTCCGAGCTGCCCCTGGACGACCAGGTCATCTTGCTCAGAGCAGGTGAGTGGGAACTGTCCCCGCGTGGGCTCTGGCATGGGGCCATAGGAGTACTACATCTCGACAGTGACAGGTATTACACTTAGATTTAGGTCCTGGCAACTTGAAAGCCATTAACTGATTCTGAGTAATAGCCTCTGATAATTCAATTGCTAAATAGGATTTAAAAAGCCCCAAGGGATGTGTTGCTGAATGTGATCCAAAATGTTGCACCAGCTGCCAATCAGCTGCAAAATGGCCCGGCTTTCTCTCTGGTGAGCGAGGCGCTTGGAGATGTGCGCTGGATTATTTAAACCAAGGGAGCTACGCGCTGCCTTCCTCCCAAGCTGAGACTTGAAAGACCAAGTGAGCCTGGGACTCCATGAAATTTCATCAAACTAAAATGTTTGATCATAATTAAAACCAGAAAGGAGAGAAAAATATATCAACCTCCTTCTCCCACCCACCAAGATGAAAATAAAATTCTCTGGGCTTATTTTAAATTTCTTGTGCGGCAGGGGGTCTGCAGGAACAGAGAGGCTTTGGGAGGTGAAAAGCAGTTAGCTGTAAAAAGGGTCTTCTCCCACGGAGTAAATTCAAGCCCCTACTGCTGGCAGGTTACGCACAAAGACCAGGGAGGGCAAGAAATCAAGAGCAGAGCTTGACGAGGGTGCATTTTAGGCATGAAGCTCTTTGCATCGTTCCAATCATCAGAGAAGTGATTAAAAAGGCTTTGGCTTGATGCAGCGGAGAGCTTTGCTCCCTTAAACAAAGAGGAAAGCAAGTTGTCAGTGGGACACATGAAGCTGCTTCCAGCAAATGACAAACTCCATGTGAAGGGTGAGACTGGGAGAGGAAATGAGGAGACCTTGACGGCTGGCAGTGGCACCCAGCTCTCCGCTTGGCAATGAGAGACACTGACCTTGGCTACTCGAAGTAGTCAAGGGAATTCAAAAGGGAACGATGGAGGAGTCTGGTGCAGAGCAGAGGTGCAGCCTCAGAGCAGGGCGAGCTGGTGAGCTACCTGGTGCAAACCAGCCCGGCAGCCAAACCCCAGCAAGCCAAGGACTCTGAAGTCCCTGGTAGTTTTAAAAGTTCCTCTTGTTTCCCCAAAATGCACTTTTGTAGGGAATTCAAGAGAGGAAAACCCTGCCAGGGGTGTGTGTTCCTCTCTCTACACTCTTCTGGCCTCGGGTTAATGGCCTCTGTAGATGAGACACCGCTGATCCACCTTGATGGCAGCGTTCTGGCTTCTTACTGTAGAAAGTGTATGCCCCAAAATAAATGCCCATGAAATTGGGCAGGAAAGTGCTTTAAGAACCAAGTGCAAAGTATTCACTGCAACACAAAACGTAGGAACTGCCAGAACTCCTTCAGGTCCAAGGTTGCTTCAGGAGAAGGTGTAAGGGCTCCAGAGTAGGAAGATGATGGGATTGGTGTTTCCCCCTTCCCGCCACACAAACCCTAGCTGTCATTCTGTTTAATATGGCTGACTGTAGCCCAAATGCATGAATCTTAATACTTTCTGGAATTTTTTATTGACTGTCAGCCAGTGTAACTGCGTACCTTGGGCCTACATACAAATACCCAGTCCCTCTTGCAACCTCTCCGAAATCCTTGACCTCAGTGGTTTCTGGGCGATCAAGTCACACCGTTTACTGGTGTAGGTTTTCCACTCTTCTTATATTACTGAAAGGAGATTTTTATAGTCACATTCATCTAGTGGTTACAGCAGTAGTCTGGGAATGGAGAATTTGGGGGTTTTATTCTTGCTGCAGACTTGGCCAAGTCCCATGCCCTCCCTGGCCGGCTCCTGCTAGCCCTTTGGTGAAGGTGCTTCTCTCATTTTTCCATGGGTGTGAGCATTGCCAGAGCTGGCTCACAGCCCTCTCTGGAAAATACAAAAAGTGTATTTTTGAAGAGGGTCTCTAGAGGCTCTTGTGAGAGTGGATGAGGAGGGGAAGCATCTCTATAGAAATCTTTGAGGGCTTTCTGCAAATATTGCAGGGAAGAACTGGATTCAGACAAAAAGCTGCCTTTTTCTTTTGTGAAATGGAAACAAAACCCGCAACAACAGTTCAAGGTTTTCCTTTCTCTTTAGAAGAAGGCTAATGAAAGCTGAACTGGAGACTTTCTGACCTGACGTTCTCTCCTTTGTGCTGGTGCTTGTTATGACCAGCTTCGAGCTGGCATGCTGGAGGGGCCACTCCACGGGGTAGGATGGGGGGCTGCAGACCCCATCGCATCCCAGATTTCATGGTGGCTCTAACCCCATGGCCGTAAGGTGGGCTCAGCACCCGGAGCGGCTCCGATGGGCTCCCTGCTCCAAGCATCTCTGTCAGGGCCTCAGATAACCTCCCCCAAGTCTTTTAACTAGTTGCTCTATCTATTACTGAGTGGGGAGAGCGGCCTGCTGAGAACACCTGCCCATGAAATATTTAAGTATTAAAATGTAGCTAAGAGCATCAGTCAGGTTCAGTCGTGCATCCTTGGAGGCAAAATTAAGTGGAGCACACGTCTTTGGAGGAGCGCTGCTGGATGGGCCAGCAGTAGCTTTCCTCTAATCCTGAATCACTTAAAAATCTTCCCTCTCTGAGCTTTTTGGAGGAGGAGACCCAACTTTTTAAGCCTGTTTTCCCTGGGTTTTGTTGTTTCCAAGCTTGCTATGGCTGAGACGGGAATAACCTGATGTTTTCTCTGCATCGAGGCCAGCCTGGCAAAGGATGCTGAGCACTACATCTCTGCAGCTGCAGTTCATTCTATAGGGCTGGTGGGGAAACTTGGTAGTGAGATGGATTAACATGATGGTCACTACGCTGCCAGGTGCCTTCCCTACCCCAGAGGAGCCAAAGCATCCCCGGAGGCTGCAGCCACCTTGTTTGATGAGAAAGGAGTCGCAAGAATCAAAGAAATCTGCTCTGCTTCTCGAGAGCTTGGGCTGAAATGCAAAACTCTTTGGGTAGACTTGTTTGATCTCTAACTCAGGTTTGCTGCCTGTGGTTATACCTAATTTTTCCTGCTTGCTGCTTTATCTTGTCAGCTCTTTGGGGATGCTCTGGTGAAAGCACCGGGTAGAAACAGGTTCCCCATTTCAGCCGAAACATCCCAGCTCTAAATGGGAATAATTCAGCTGAAGGGTGCTGATTAATCCAGCGGTCCTTAGCTGGAATAAGCCCAGCACACATATTGGTGGCACCCCGCAGCCTCACCACTTTCACGGATTCTTGGCAAGCCGGAGGCTGGATTCGGCGCCGCTGGGGCTGTGCGGAGCCGCGGCAGAGGGATGTTGGGTGATGGCCGAGAGTCAGGGCAGAGCTGTGAAAGCCGGTGCCGTGGAGGGACGTTGTGAACCAGCTCTGGTTCCTGTTGGTTGGGGCTGCGTGTGGAGTTGCTGTGGGTCTGCCTGTGACGGCTGGTGGGAGGCACCCACGGCACCTTTCTGTGGGTCTGGCTCTGGGAGGTCCTCTTCAGCCACGGAGCACGGTTCCTGCGGGCTCCTGGTGCAGTCCCACGTCTTCTCCTCCGTCCTCCTTGGGTTTCAGTGTTGCAATCCCTCTGCAAGTGCCAGGCCTCGCCCAGTAAATAGCCAAATAAACGTTCCCATGGTTGGGGTGGAAACATCCTGTGGCCACTTAGGGAAGAGTGAACTTTATTCCTTGTCAACATTTCTAATGGCATAACCCATCTCTGCAACAGTAGGTAAATACAGCACACGTGGACGTTGTATTTATTCCAGTCAGCGAGAAAAGACATGTTTCTGTGGCGGGAGAGGAGGTGAAGGATGTTGTTGCATTGCTTTCCCGGCCTGGGAAAAAAAAATAAAATCGAATATCCTGACATTTCTGGACCCTGCCAAGGAGCCCTGTGTTCTGGACACCAGAACACATTCAGGCCGGGTAAATCAGCTACGTGATGAGCGTGAGACTCCCCAGGGTTGCAGAAGACCCATCTTGTTTTATTGGAGATGCCTCTCCTGGTTCAAAGTCACCAAAATTTCCACCCTTCAAAACTTTACAGCATTTCTTCTTGTTACGGGTTTGTTTTGGGCATTCTTGAACTCAGCTGGTAGCCGATTTAAGAATTTGAAGACGTGTTAAATTAGGAAGGGGAGCTGGAAGGCGGGGAGGGAGGTGGCATCTCCCTTCCCTTCCCCATTTGTAACTAGCCCAGACTGCTCCAGTGGTGTCCGGGCTCAGAGGATGTGTTTTCCTATCTCCTGAAGTAGCATGTCCAGTAACTAATAAGACAAAAGCTGATTTCCAAGCATTTATGGAAAGCTGTTAGAGGAGCAGTCATGGACGTGGGACGTCCCTGTACAGCGGCAGGTAAGAGGAGAGGCAATTCCTTCCAGTATTTATATGGCAGAAGCAGCAAACCTGCAAGCAAGAGTTTTCATGGTCCCGATTTACACAGCTGAATAATGGTGAATGAACTTTTGTGCCCCATTATGGCCTGAAAATGAGCCCAATTAGCTGATATAAAGTGTTAATAGGTCTTTAACTGCTCAGGGGCACGGAGTATAAGGTCAGAGGGGGAACGCAGGGCTCCACACCCACTCGTAGGTTCACAGTGAGAGGAGCAGGGCAGAGAGCTGTTTGCTCTGGTGCCTGCAAGGTTTATAGAGGAAACTGCTTCCCTTATTAGCGTTATATTTTTAGTGCATTTGTTCCTTAATGGTTTTTTCCTTCCCTGACATCCAAGAAAGGGTTAGCTCCCCCCTCCCTTCCCATATCCAGCCTTGTTACTCTAGCAAAGGCGGTTCTTGAGCGGTTTCCTCCTCTCTTTTTAGCACCGGGGAGGTGACGTTGCCGATTCCCGAACCCACTGAGGACCCCGTGGCTCTAACCTGCGGCCTTGGTTGTTTTCTCCTCCCCAGGGTGGAATGAGCTCCTAATCGCCTCCTTCTCCCACCGCTCCATAGCCGTGAAAGACGGGATCCTCTTAGCCACCGGGCTCCACGTGCACCGGAACAGCGCGCACAGTGCTGGCGTCGGGGCCATCTTTGACAGGTGGGCAGAGGGAGGGATGGATGGTGGGGAACGCATCTCAGGCCACCTTGCCTAGACATCCCCGTCTCTGTCTCCGCACCGGTCTGCCTCCGTTCCCGGCGTTGCAACCTGCTTGAGGGGTCGGATGGAGATGCGTTGGCATATGGGGTTCGTGGTTGGAGGAGCCCAGGCTGAGGCGTGTCCATCCCACAGCGTGCATGGAAATGTCATGGTCTTTGCTGCAGGCAATGACTTTAAATCCCTCCTCTTAAACCTGCAGAAACCAACAGCCCGCAATAGTCAGGGAGAGGGCTGCCCAGTGCAAATCAAAGCCTCTTTCATGGGGCCCAGATGCCTTCTAATGTTACAAGGAGGCCACTCTTTTGTTTCTTTTCATCTTTAATTGGAGCAAGACGTGATTTTATTTTCACAATGAAAAACCACCAAAAATACCCAGCAGGTTCCACATGCGTATCCCGAGGGCTCTTTAATCTCGTGCTTTGGGAAAGTGTTTTAAAGCCAGACTTCCAGGGTGTTTGACCCACAGTGTGGCTCCGGACGCTGCTTAAATTGTGGCTTATTTCTCTGCCCAGGACTCATCTTGATATGGCTTAGTTGAAACCAAATCACCTTTGCTTCTTACCTTTGCAAGGAAATTGTTCTTTGGACCTGGGTGACATCATTTGTTTCCTGTGAGGTCATAAGTGCAAGATCATGACTTCACTGCAGGATCTAACATGAAAAACTGGGCAATCAGTGGAAAATATTTCAAGACCGGCACCTGCAGTAAGAGCAAAGGGAGTAATAAAAATTACCGGCAGAGGAAATTGCTTTTAGATACCTGTTGGGGTTTTTTTTATTATTATTTTTCTTATTTCTCTGCCCAGGACTCATCTTGATATGGCTTAGTTGAAACCAAATCACCTTTGCTTCTTACCTTTGCAAGGAAATTGTTCTTTGGACCTGGGTGACATCATTTGTTTCCTGTGAGGTCATAAGTGCAAGATCATGACTTCACTGCAGGATCTAACATGAAAAACTGGGCAATCAGTGGAAAATATTTCAAGACCGGCACCTGCAGTAAGAGCAAAGGGAGTAATAAAAATTACCGGCAGAGGAAATTGCTTTTAGATACCTGTTGGGGTTTTTTTTATATTATTATTTTTTATTTTTAGGCAGCTTTCTCAGGTGCCAAAGCCCCTCAGTGAATGTATGAAGCCAGTTTTTATGGTCCCTGTTGTATCTCACAGAAACTATTGATGTTCCTAATGAGCTATTTTTGATACAGGAGGAAAATGAGGGCATATCCTCAGCTGGTATGAGCGAGCACTGTCCCATGACTTCATTAACCATGCACCAGAAGACCTCTCTCTGGGTCTGACACCGGGGTGTTTTTTCATTTCTTTTTAACGCTGACATCTGTGATTTCTGTGTCCTTTGCAGAGTACTGACAGAACTCGTGTCAAAAATGCGAGACATGCAGATGGACAAGACAGAGCTAGGCTGCCTGCGAGCCATTGTCCTCTTCAACCCCGGTACATGCCCTTACTTCTCTCCTGTCCTCTCTTGGTTGATGCTGTGTCCTTTTGGCTCCTTTTCTTACCTATAAAGCTCCATTGCAAATAACTGAGGGCACCCGACTCCCGAGGACAGGGCAAGAAGGAAGAGAGGCAAGAATGAAAGTCAAATTAAGTGCTGCACATGCATCTGTCACCTTACAAGCATGTCCTTTGCAGATCAGGGATGGATCTGGTTCTGTGCCCAGGGTTGCTCTCCAGGCCTCCCTTTCTAAGGCGTTTTCCCCTTCGTAGAGGGCAGCGTGGTTCACGGTCCAAAATATTCTCCATGCAGGGCCGGGACTTGGCTGCGATCATCTGAGGAGATGGCGAATGCTGCTTTTGGAGCTGACTCCTACTGATGGGCTGAGTTCTCTGCTGAGCTTGAGAGGCTTTGGCTTGATCAACGTACCCAGTCTTCCTATTTTCAGTGTTTCAGCCAACTCTGTAAAAAGAAAGATGTAGTGTAGAAAAGGAGTTGTCCCTGAATAGGAGCAAAAATGAATCTAGATATCCTTTAAGACAAAAGTATGGATTAGAGCAAAGTTAGAGCATGGACATTATTGTCCTCTGTTTCTCGATCTCAACATCCAAGGGCTTTTATTAATGGCATTTCTGGAAAAGCCCTCTGCAGACCTGGAGAGGGTGAAAGGCATGAAACATGCTCATAAAATACGCAAGAACTTTATTTTTTGTCTGCAGCTTGCTTAGTTTTACAGACTCCAGGAGGCTTCACGCTGCTTGCTTTTCCCCCTTGGCCCCAGCTGCCCAAAGGAAGAAGAAGGTTCAGTGCCTGGGGTTGTCTCCGGCGTTTCAGAGACCAAAGCCCTGCTGCAGCAGGAGATAGACTGCCAGCTTGCAGATGCCTGTACAGATCTGTTGGGGGGTTCTCTGTATTTTAGAATGGGTCAGTCCAGAGCAAAAGCAGATGGCAGACAAGGGTGGACCTCCACAACTGTGGCCACCCCTTCCCCTCCCTGCCCTCGTAGGAGCATGGTTTGTGCCCAAGCAAAGCTCTTTCCCTGGCCTTTCCCACCGAACACAGGCCAGGGCATTTCAGCAGGGTTTATTGCTGTTTCTTAAGTTTGTTTTTCTGCTTGACTTATCCCCCCCCCTTGTAATCACCAGTAATTTATTGTCTGTAATTTGGGATTAGCCGTATATGGTAGAAGAAGGGGAATCTGGAGAGGTTCCCGTGGCGCATGTGCTCGGGGATATCGATTGCTTGACTGTCCCTTTCACCCTACTAAAAACAGATCCTCATCGCATTGTGGGGGACCTGCCAGAGCGAGGGCTTTTCGTTTAGCCCTGCCGCAGTGCTTCGTGCTGGAGGGAGAAATCCCACCAGCCCAGGACTTAAACCCTTTTCGTGAGGGTCTGTGACCACTGGAATGAGCCAAAATGGTTGGGGTTGGGGTATGAGGTACCCCAACAGATATGGTAAAACAGATCTGTAGTCACAGGGCAAACCTTGCAGGGCTTGAACGCTCCCCAGGAGGTGTTAGGTACTGCCCCAAATTCCTGGGGTTCAGACCCCACATCCATGCTGTGCCCTGGTCTGGTGGTGCAAGGAGGGATGGAGGGGGCTGTGCATCCTGGGGGGTGTGTACAGGGGGGTCCGTGCCTGCCTGGAAAGCCTGGAGGTTTTTTGGCTGATGGTCCTTTCGTTGCCTTCCAGACTCGAAAGGTCTCTCCAACCCGGCTGAAGTGGAGGCGTTACGGGAGAAGGTGTACGCGTCGCTAGAGGCATACTGCAAACACAAATACCCCGACCAGCCCGGGAGGTGAGTTGCTGGCTGTGCCCTGTCCTCCTGCAGCCTCGCGCCCCTGCAAAGCCCCGTGCAATGGGTGCTGCAGCCGGTGCAAAGGGTGCTGCAGCCCAGGACAGGGTCCAGGTGCCGTCCCCGGGGTCGCTGCACCTGCAGTGTACGGATGCTGGGTCCCTTCCATTTAGGGCTCTCTGTTCCCACATCTTCTGGGAGTGAACAGTTCTCTGCAGAGAAAACCACTCATTTCTACCTGCTTCAGCTGTGAACGTCCTTAGAAAATCCCCCTGTGAAGTGCAGAGAGCTCTTTATTCCCATGCCAGTAAACGTAACGCAGCCAGGACAAGGCTGGGCAGTAACGGCGGTGCTGAGACCTGAGGAGCCCCGGCTCCAGCGGCCACAGCAGTGGGATGAGCACATGGGGGAAGGGGTATCATTTCCCTTTTGGCAACCACGGAGAGCAAACCACAGCGAAAATAAGACGCACACGGAGTTAATTTTCAGTGGCAGATGAGCATCATTACTGGGAAGTGAAAGCCTCAATTGATGCTCTTTTCTCCCCTCCCCGCCTCCCCCAATCCAGCTGGGAATGGGAGGGGGAATTAGGAATGTTTTCCTGGACTGCTCTGGAGCTGAGTGGGCGCATTTTCCCAGTTACAGCCTGAAGCTGGCAACTGCCAGTTAAGTTACTGACAGTCATTTGAGAAACCAAGCAAAGCTCTGGAAACTGCTGCTGGTGCATATCGCTGCTGAGGCGTGAATATTGGGAAAAACAGCCCAAGCAACTGGGATTTGCATCTCACCTGCATTCCTGGTCTTGCGTGTCTGGATGGTTAAAAAAAATAAAGGATGCTGTTACAGCAATGAACGCAGTGGGCAGATCATGCCCTCAGAAGTAATATTGGACTTGTTTTCCCCCCCTTTGGGTACCAATGTGCTGGCAGATGAAAAAAGACACATTGTAAATGGGCTGCTTGGATGTTCATGGTTGGCTTGTGGCGGGGAGAGTTGGGATGGAGGTACTGTTGGGTGTGTTTGGCTTTGTGGTGAGGAGGGAAGTGGGGGATGAGCACGGTGCACGGAGCAGGGGTGATTACCTCTCCTCCCCCGGGTGGTTTATGTGGACCCCAGGCCAACTCTCAAGCTGACTCCTCTTCCAAAAAGCGTTATTAAATTGCAGTTCCTAAGCAAATCCAGACCCAGACCCTGGACTTTGGCTGTTCTGGTGTTTCAGAAGAGCTCTGCTTCCCTTGGGGCTCACAACGAGCAGCCAGCCATACCTGGCACAAGGAGAGCTGCGTTGGGAATCGTGGCCAGCAGCTCTCTTGGATTATTCCCCCAGCAGGATGAACTCTTTGCTTCGCACAGGCATCCAGTGTCTGCAGCTGAGTCGTGCTGCCCTCGCACGCCGCTGCTCGCTGCCGCAGGCTGGGGTGGGGCTGGGCAGGGGGCTGGCATGGGGACAGCCCCGCTCTTCATCGACCAAACCACCACGAAGCCGCTGTGCATGACTGAGCAAAGTCACTGAGCCACCAGTCAAAATCAGTTCCCCAGGGCTCTATCTCAATGATCAGCAATGTGTAAGGGAGCATTTTGGGTTCAGTAGCCTGCACCAGGGGCTCTGGAGTTTGATCTCTCACTGGCTTTGAATGACCTTGGGCTGGGGACCTCCTTGTGTGATCCTCACACCCTTCCTTGGTGACCTTAAAGGTTTTTGCATGCTTAGGGCTGTCCTGAGAGGCATTGCTGACCTTACTGCATCTCTTGTATGGTGCAGGGCAATGGTGGACTAAGCCCAGGTGGCTCGGGAGGGTTAACTCGTGGGCTGGGAGTCCAAAGTTGCACAAGAGCTAAACAAAGCTCTCAGGAGCTCTCTCCATCCTCCTGGTCTTATGGCACAATGTGATCACCATCTGGGGCTGGAAACAAGTTCTTCCTGTGGTTGAGCAAGCGCCTGGTCGAGCCCGTGGCAGGCACCCTCTCCTGCTCCACGCTGCGGCGAGCGCTTGGCTTCCCCACCACTTCAGATGCCCTTTGGTGCATGACTTTAGCCTAGTCCCCGGCCATCGAGAGCTTGCGAGCATCATGTAAACACCAAAAGGGAACTTCTCTGCAGCAGCGAGATGGAGGCAGGCATTCCTAGGAGAAACCCAGCCGTGCTCCCCCCGCGCCAGCCCCTGCTCCTCTGCAGGGAGGGCACGGTGCGTACGTGACACCAAGCAGCCACGGGGAATCGGGGCTATTTTCTCCCCTCCTGGCCGCAGCCCTGGCACATTTTGCTGCGGGCTGGTTATCTCACAGTTAAACGTATCCGAGGGCTGGAGCCATCATCTGGTTTGGTTTAAAGTGAAACTTCCTGAATGGGATGGTAGGACTGATTTGTTTTTCCTGGCTCTGCTCCCACCGTTCTCGCCAGCTCAGCAAAAAAAAAAAAACCCAGGGAGAGAGAAGTGTGCATGCATGTATAATATCTGTATGTTTGTGCATGTCTCTCTCTATCTGTGTGTTTTCTAGAGAGTCCCCTTCTCCCTGGGCTGGTTTCAAGCCCTGATTGTGCAGCAGTAAAAGCAAATAAATGTGCCCCTGGCCATTAAAGGGCCTTTCCCCCATTTTGAGAGCGGGGAGGCGATATCCCGCAGCGCCTGGGGTTGCTGCCTGCACCCCTGGGGTGTGGGCAGGCAGGGTGGGGGCACCCCGGGTGGCACCGCGGGGTGCTCCCAAGCACCCTTGCAGGAGCCGGTGACTTTCTCCTGGCTCCGCAGCCTCCTGCCTCTCTCGGAGCCCAACACACAGCAGACTTTCCCCGGCACAGCCGGCTGGCCCTCAGGCTCATGTTCTTCACCCTGGCCAGCTCCTGCAGCGCTGTCGGCTCTCCCCAGCCCCCCTGGCTCTCCCCTGCCCAGCTGCGCACCCCTCCTGCCTGTCGGCTCTTGCCGGCATCGGCATCGAGGGTGCGACCTGACAAGCATCTCTGCTGGGCAGGGCAGGCTGGGGAGAAAGGGCTTTTGTTTGGCTCGGGCTCGTGGGAGCCCCACGCTGGGCAGGGAGAAGGGGAGCACCCCATGTCCCAGCTGATTCGCAGCGCTCCTTCCAGCTTTTGTGTCAAAGCCCTTGTCTCCTTCCATTGGCTTCACCCCCGAGGAGCCTCCAGCCCGGCTGTCAGCTGGGTTTCTGCTACGCCAGCAGCCCCCCAGGGCTCGGCAGCAAGCAGCCCTAGTGATGGCTGGCGGAGCGGCCTGGGAGGTGCCAGGTGCCTGCAGGAAAGGGGCATTGCCGAGCCGACTAACCTCACTCGGCATCTCTTCCATCCCCTCCCTGGCTGCTTGCCCTTTTCTCTGACCAAAGACCCTGCTGAAGCTGCTTACACCACTGCCTGCGACAAGGCTGGCCCCGTGATGCCTCCTCCCTGTGGCTGCGGTGTAGGGACCCCACGAGCTTCTCGGGCGGGTGCATGAAGCCAGTGGTGCACCCCAGTCCGGGGACGGCCTTTCATTTCTTATTTTACTCTTCCAGCTCAGCTATCAGCACATGTTTGTTGTGAATATGCACCGTGGCTGCCTGACCTTCAAGGCTGGGGACATAATTAATGATTTCTCTGCACAGCTCTGAGTGTAGCCCCATGACTTTGGTAGCAAAAGAGGTTGTGTCTGACTCCCAGCCCTTCTGAGCAGGAGTGGCCACAGAAGCTTTGGGGATCGGGGCAGAGGCGGGGCTGCCGGTGGGATGGCTGACCATGTCATGTCTCCTGCCCCCAGGTTCGCAAAGCTCTTGCTCCGTCTCCCAGCCCTCCGGTCCATCGGCCTGAAATGCCTGGAGCACCTCTTCTTCTTCAAGCTAATAGGCGACACGCCGATCGACACCTTCTTGATGGAAATGCTGGAAGCGCCCCATCAAATGACTTAGAGAACTGCTGCTGGGTCAGTCCCTCGCCTGGCTGGGGTCTCACGGGGCCCCTTCCTCTGCTTTCCTCCACCACCGCCCCAGCCCATCCTTCCCTCCTCTCCCCAGCGCTGGAGGCACCGTCTGATCCGGGGCGACCCCCTGCCGTCCTCGCCTCCTCGTCACCTTCACCTTTGTCCGTTTGCTGTCACTGCTGCATCTCAAGACCTGCTCGCTGGTTCCCTGCGCTAGACCGTTCCTTCCCCCGCCGTCCCCCCGCCCGCCACCCTCCCCCCCCCCCCCCCCCCCCCTGCCCCCCCCCCCGCCGTTCCATGAGTTTCGGGGTGAGCCGCCGGCCAGACTTGGCATCACCCCGCGTGCATGCCGCGGCCGGTGGTGCTTCCCCCCGGGGCAGGAGCGGGGACGGGGACGATCCCAGCCCTTGGGGCAGTGGGGTTTGGACAAGCCGAGGGGAGTGGTTGAACTCGCTGGATTGCAGCTGGCTATTTTCAGAGGATGGAGTTTTTGAAAAAGAGAAGGGGGGAAAAAAAAAAAAAAGAGTTCTATTTTTGGTTTCTAACTATTATTAGTAGTCTCGGTAGTTACTTCACGGAGGGAGAGGCGGGCTGGAGAGGCGGCCCGGCCCGTGCCCCGCAAATGAGTCACCCGTGGCTGCACAGAGCCTTCTCCTTTCAATTAAAAGCAGAGGATTTGGGATTGCGCTGAATCCCCCCCCAAATAACGAGGCGACTGGTGGCACAGGGAGTCAGGGCACCCTCTCACCCTCTGTGCAGAGAGTCCCGCGGGCGGCAGCACCTGAAAAATCCCCTTTTGCTGTCCCAGAGGGCAGCCGGGAATCACTGCTCTTCCCAAATATGCCTCTGCGCTTGGTGTGGAGCTGCCCACGCGGACACGAGCCAGCTGGAGCACTTGCTTTAAGGCTGCAAGGGACTCAACATCGCCCTTCCCCAGCTCGTGGGGTCTTGCCGGGACCCCCACCCTCAGCACTGCGCCCAGCATCCCGGCACGGCCCCGCTCTCGGGGCTCGGTCCAGCCTGTCCCACCAGACCCACGCTTTATTTCAAGGGCTGTTGCGTTGGAGCAGCAGGAGCTGGCGTGTCGGCAATGGCTCCTTGTTTTTTTTGGTCCTGACCTGGTTCAGTGAGGTTGGAGGGGCATTTCCAGCTGATGGGGTGGGCTTGGCAAAACGCCCCCTCCGTGCCCGCATTGCGGGGTTTCCCCTGGGCCGGCAGCGCCCGAGCCCTCGCCTCACGAGGGGGTTTCGACTCGCCCAGGAGGCTGCGCCTCTTGATTCAGCAGCTGCGGTGCAAAACACTGCAAGGCAACAATTAGTGGGAGTGCTTGGCCAGGCTGGTAATTGTGGCTGTTAATTAGTGGTGAAGCAAGAACAGGGCTCCCCCTCCCCTGAATCTCCCCCATTGGGCAGGGATGTGGGGGCTGAGCGGTCCCAGCTGGGTGGGGGACGCGGCAGCAGCCTCTGCCCGTGAGGGCAGTGTGCCCATCCCCGGCCCATCCGGGGTGCCGAGAGCACCAAAAGCACTTTTTGCACGGTCCTTTCCTTGAATCTTTGCGTGGCGGCAGGGAGATGGACAGATTTTTAGGGATTAGGGACGTGGTCCCAGGAACGTACCCACATCCCACAGGACAGGATCCCCTAGCCAGGGAGCGTTTCCCCTTCACATCCCCATTTCACCTTCAGCGGGCGTCTCCAGAGCCCCACCGAAAAAATGAGTTAGGAAAAAGCTCCAAAAGCAGAGCAAGCGGTGGGGGACGTTGGGGAGGGTTTTTCCCCCCTTGGCAGGATGGACTATCCCGAACACACCGTGGGGCGGGTGCTCGGAGCCAAGAACGAGGTGCCTGTGGTTGGCCTCGGGCCAAGGGCTTCCCCGCCGCTTTCATGTCTTCTGTGCTTTGAAACAACAAAGTGTGAGGTCTCCAAGGTATTTCTTTCTCTTCTTTCTCCCTGTGGGTTGTAGCTGGCTCTTCAAACATCTCCTTTGTGCCTGGAGGGGGGATGGAGCGGTGCCCACCAGCTCCCACCTCTGTTTTTGAGGGGACACAGTTGTCGCCCGCCTGTCGGCATCCTGCCTGGCAGCTCGAGTCCCCCGCTCCATCCCCTGCAGTTAACCAGACCATCTCACTGCTAAATAAATGCTCAGGATTTCAGGTCATAACTTTCCCTTAGGCTGGCCCGAAGTGGCAAATCCAGAGAGGCAGGGAAAGTGTTTTGGCTGTGTTTCTCCAGCAGCCTGCACGCCGCCGAAAATATTATTAAACAGCTTCATCCTGCAAGAATTTGCCAAGAAAACTAGGCAAGAGAAATGAAATATGTAAAGGGTGCCAGTAAACACGAGCAGGCTGTTCCTTGCCAGCGTAAGGCTGGCGCAGCCCCGTGGGGGGCTTGCAGGGAGGTGTTAGCTCCCAGCCAGCCGGCGGAGCTCAACCCGGAGCCAAACCAGCCCCCGGCAGCCGGCAGCCCCCAGCCCGGCTCTTGCTGGTGGAAAGGAGCCTGGAGTTCACTTGCTGGAGAGGGTGAGGGTGCTTTGTGAAAGTCGGTGGACGTTGCACTAGAATAAACCCGCTGTCCTTCTCCGTTGGGTGGAACCACTTTGTTCCTGATCGATGTCTTGGAAGGGGCTGTTTGGTGCTGGGTGCTGAGCTGTGGTGGCTTGCGAGGCTGCGGTCTGGCCGGCTGCAGCCCTGGGCACCGCCGGGCTGCAGAGGGGGAGCTCCCATC